TATTGACCATTTTGGACCATTAGAAATTACAACAGACGGCTATAAATATATTTTAGTTATCGTGGATGCTTTTACAAAATTTACTTGGCTTTTTTCCACTAAATCTACTACAACTGATGAAGTCATAAAATATTTAAATATTCTTTTTGATTTATTTGGACTTCCTGAACGAATAATTAGTGATCGTGGAACAGCTTTTTCTTCAAGAAATTTTGCTCAATTTTTAAAGGAAAGAAAAATAAAGCATGTAATGACTGCAGTCGCTTCACCTTGGGCTAATGGTCAAGTTGAAAGAGTAAATCGTTTCTTAAAGTCGACCTTATCGAAAATAAGCGATAATATTGCAGATTGGAAAAATGTACTAGGCAATGTTCAATTTGTAATTAACAATACTTTGCATAAGTCGATTAATACCACGCCGAGTAAAATATTGTTAGGATATGATCAGCGTCAAAATTCCGATAACGAATTAAGAAAACTAATTGATCATCTGGCGCAAATCGATCTAGATATCGAGCAAGAAAGAACAGAATTACGAGATTCAGCTCAAATCGTGAATCGCGCCGTTCAAGAATATAATAAAATAAAATACGATAAAAAGCATAAGAAACCTACACGGTATAAAGAAGGAGATCTGGTACTTGTCAAAATTTTACAGCCTAAAACCGGTACCAATCAAAAATTATTGCCGAAATATAAAGGACCATATCAAATCAAAGCTGTACTTAAGAAAAATAGATTCGTAGTGACAGACATTCCAGGATATAATCTAACTCAAAAACCATTTAACACTATTCTTTCATCCGATAAAATTAAACCTTGGATTAAAATAAACGAAAATTATTCCACTAGTAAAGATAAAATTTAGCTTTTGAATAAATAAATTGGAATACTATAAGAAAAATATATATATGTAATGTAATGTGTGATAATACGTGAAGTCTCCACAGAATAAGATATTTTTTTTATTGTTTATTTAGTATATAATCGTAATAGTTCGAGGACGAACTAAAGGGTCAGAATGGCCGAATCTGTAAGCGCCTAAAAGTATAATATATATATATATATACATAGTTTAAGGAATGTGTGCCTTACGCTATCCCTATGATAGCTCAGCATCATCTGTTGCGATAAGCGAAAAGACTTGATTTTGGAAGTTGGAGCAAGCAGTTAGCGAAGTATTGTCGAGGACTGTGCATACGTTTTGGCGAAGGAATGCCAAAGAACGTTCGCGAAGGTAGAATGTATCGAGTATTTGAGTATTATTTGTACTGTGTTAAAGAGAAGTCAATGTTGTCGTTCAAATAAATGTTAAGTTAGTGCAAAAAATTGCCGGTGAACATTTATTAAAAAAATAAAAAATAAACCCTACAATTGCCTATTGCATGCATAATAGATATCTCAAGTTTGCGTATGATTCATTGACTCTGTGATAAAATATGTAACATTAACGCAAAATACCAATAATAGATAAAGTCGTTACAAATCTGGACTGTGTGCACATCATGTGAAAATTGATCCATAGGCTGCATTCAACAGAAAAAGCTGCTCTGCAACTATTATAAAATTCGTGAATCTGATTGGCGTATGCTCTTTTTTAAATTCAGCCAATATTAAGAGCACACGCCAAAAAAATATGATTCACAATTTTCAAAATTGCAAAGCAGCTTTTTCTGCCCCATGCTTGCGACGATGCTTTATCTATTAATAGTATTTCACGTTAATGTGACATATATTTCATCACAGAGTTAGGCTAATATTACATTTGTCGTACGACAAATTTTTTGAATATATTGATTGGCTGCAGAATAGAAAGTTTTTAAAAATTCAAAAAATTACTATCCCGTAGCCAATTAATATGCTTAAAAAATTTGACGTACGACAAATGTAATACCGGCTTTAGGGCCATCGCACACGAAATTGCATAGTTGCATATGCATAGCATAAAATCGTATGGACCAATGAGCATCCAGTATTAAACCATATTGATTTACATAACATAATACTCGATGTTCATTGGTCCATATGGCCTTATGCATATGTAACTAAGCAGTCGTGTGCGATAGGCCTTATCCTATTTTTCGATTTATGCATGATGCACATGAAATGACATAAAATCTATAATAATGCATTACGAGACGTCTTGTGCGGAGGCCCTAATGCAACCTACAGATTTTTTGTTGCTTTATGCGCATCATGCGTGAATCGGAAAGTACCTTCAGTGATATATACAGGTGTCCTGAATTTAAATGTCATAACTTCGGGAGCGTGTAGGGGATCGATAAACTAAAAGAAAAAGTGGTATAGAGATATGCTCGTTTTTGCTTCGTTTTGGAGAAAATCGCAAAAAACATAAAACGTAGTTTTTATTTCTGTACTTATTTATTACTTTTTAATTCATAAAAAAAAAATTAAAAAAATATAAAAAAATAAAAAAAATAAATATGAATTAAAAAGTAGTAAATAAGTACAGAAATAAAAACTACGTTTTATGTTTTTTGCGATTTTCTCCAAAACAAAGCAAAAACGAGCATATCTCTATACCACTTTTTCTTTTAGTTTATTGATCCCCTACACGCTCCCGAAGTTATGACATTTAAATTCGGGACACCCTGTATAAAGTTAGGATATCGCGCTTACAGTAGGCAATGTAGAAAAACGCCCTGTATATTTATGTTTTTCACATATACTGATCTATATGATAGCACAATATATTGATCCATTATCATGCGTGGCCGGATGTGTCCAGACCTGTCTAGACGTATACAGATACATCCACATGCGTTCAGATGCGTTCTCCCGCGTGTTCCTTATATGAATTTTATTTTTGATTTTTGATCATGTTTTACTTCCTAAACTTGTTTTAAAACTCAATTACCAGTTGATGGCTAAATGATGTTTCATTGTTAAATAATTTTATTAATAATTGCACCGTACTTTTAATCCTTAAAATCTTATATATGTTATGGTACCGTTTACTTAAAAATAAGTATTTATAAAATCGAGTGTAATAGAATTATTAATTGTTTAAGGAAAACATGTTATATGTAAAACCCATCGACATATAAACTGGACTGAGCATTGCGATAAGCAAACGCGCACTCGCTATAGAAATAGAGATATTACATAGGAGGCCTATTTTGTCTCTCTTGTTAACATTTCATTGGTAGATTTTTCGATTAAACGATAAAAATTACCAATGAGATGCTAGCAAGAGAGACAAAATAGACCTCCTATGTAGTACCTCTCTTTCTACAGCGAGTGCGCGTTTGCTTATTGCAATGCTCAGTCCAAGGGGACAAAATATTTGTCAAATATTGAATTCGTCAATGAAACTTTTCATTTTTTACGAATTTACATTAGGTGAAAAGATTCATGATCGACCCCCAGTTTATATGTCGATGATAAAACCAAAAGTCATTTAAAAAATAAATATAATAATAAAAAACTGATGTGCAAAAGATGACACCGAACTATGTTATTGTTATCGAGAAAAGCCGTTATAACCGATTAGAGCTCGGTGAAACGTATACTCCCTCCGTCTTTTTACCAACCGTAGGTTGGCAGCAGTCGGGAGTAAAAAATATTCTAACAGAGCTATTTTTCTACATTACCTACTGCACATATATCACATATTTTAACTTCGCGTATTTTATTATCTTTTTATGTCATTATCATATTTATCGTGTTAAACAGATTTGTAAGATTTTTACCAAATTTTTAGTTCTTACAAAGGACATGAGTAAGCATTCGTTGAGTGAAAGAGCTTAAGGGCCTCCGCACAAGCTGTTTCGTAACGCATTACATTACGTTAAGTATTGAGCGTAGATCTTAATTCCGTACGTAAATTTAAACTTCGGTCAACGCACAGAGAAAGTCGTAACCTAAAAACAGTAACCATTCACTGTCTCTACGTTACGATTTTCTCTGTGCGTTGACTGAAGTTTAAGTACCGAATTAATACTTAACATAACGTAATGCGTTACGAAACAGCTTGTGCGGAGGCCCTAAGTACTTTGACAATGTAGGGCACATCCTTGGATATATATATATAATAAAACATATTGTAATTAGTAATGAATATTTTTGTTATAATTTCATAAAATATAATAAAAAGTACGTAACATAAATAATATAAATTTAAATTTAATAAGTCAATTTATTAATCAATCTTTTTCATTTGCAAGATTTTTTCATTTATAGGATTTTACACAGGAATTGATGCATTTTTGTGTCTGCGCAACTCATGTTAGTGTTATAACTGTGCAACTACAATATGATGTTGTATCCTATCTTAAAAAGTGCATGTTAAGTCGATAACTCGAATATATCGAAATGTTGAAGCCTCCTTTTCTGCGATGCTGATAGGATGGTGCGTTCCGATATATTCGCGGTTAGGTTAAGTTAGGTAGCGTAGCGCTCGAGCGCTTCGTCATCCATAATCTATTTGTTACTCTTTCGTATTACATAGTAGTGTGTTAAGAAAGAAGTAAAAAGAAGTAAAGAAGAAAAAAGAGAAAGAGAGAAAGAAGAAAAATCGAATAAAGAAGGTATGTAAATATGTGTATAAATGTTGTTTTTTAAAAGAAAGTATGAAAAACTTTGATCCGGAAAAGGTCATATTACTTGTACATATTTATATTGATAATTATATTTACAATATGTATAAAATATATAAACTATATTGTATATATATGTATGTACATATACATACATATATATAATATATATACATTACATATACATATGTACACATATATGTTAATATGTAAAATAATGTAATAATTATAATTATAATTATTTTTGTTTGTAGTGAAATTACACTAATAATTTTAAATCCTCTCTGCATTACTGTATTTGCTCTTAATAAAACATTAATATATATGCAAGATAATATATGGAAGCTATTTGTAGATATGTATTATATTGGGTTGGGGAGAAAGTTTCTTCGTATTTTATTGCAAAAATGAAACAAATTTTATTCATATTTGAAATGAAGCTTATGAAATTAAATATGTGCCGTTTTGTTCGACCACCTTTTGCCATCTTTGAGGTAAAACCATAATCCCGTCACTGTAGAACTTGTGTGATTTCTGGGCGAAAAACTGTGACAAGTGATTTTCACAGGCCTCTCTTGAAGCCAACTTCGTACCATTAAGAGAGTTCTGTAGAGATCGAAATAAATGGTAGTCTGATGGTGCAAGGTCAGGACTATAAGGTGGGTGCATCAAAACTTCCCAGCCAAGTTCTCTTAATTTTTGACGAGTCGCTATAGATACATGAGGTCTCGCGTTGTCGTGATGAAAGACGACGCCTTTCCTATTGATCAATTCTGGTCGCGTTTTCTCAATTGCCTGGCGTAATCTTTCCAGTTGTTGACAGTAAAGGTTAGAATCAATTGTTTGACCGGACGGCAGCAGCTCGTAGTGAACGATTCCTTTGTAATTCCACCACACACTCAGCATCACTTTTCTTGGCGTCAATTTTGGCTTTGCCACAGTTTGCGGAACTTCATTTCGCTTTGTCCACGATCTTTTTCATACATTATTGTCATACGTGATCCATTTTTCATCGCCTATTATGAGCCGTTTCAAAAATGGTTCGATGTCGTTTCGTTTTAACAATGATTCGCAGATAGAAAATCGATCCATTAAATTTTTGACTGTTAAATCATGTGGCACCCAAACATCGAGCTTTTTTTTGTATCCAGCTTTCTGCAAATGGTTTAAAACTGTTTTGTGGTCGATGTTCAGTTGCTTACCGATTTCGTGACTGCTAATATGCCGGTCTTGTTCAATTATTTCCATAATTTCATCGACTTTTTCAGTGATCGGTCGACCAGAGCGAGGTGTATCTTTGACGTTAAAATTTCCAGATTGAAAACGCTTGAACCAGATTTGTGCAACACGTATTGATACAGCATCATGTCCATAAACATCACAAATTTTTTTAGCTGCCTGAGTTGCATTCTTCCCTTTTTTAAAATAAAATTTTAAAATGTATCGAATTTCTTCTTTCTCTTCACTCATTTTCAAGATGCAATAACTTTTAACTGAATAGATAAATATCACTACTTTTTTGCTACTTTTTCTTTATGATATGTCACCTTTCAAACGCACACAAAGTATTGACAGATCCGATTAATATTATCAAGGTTATGCGATTCTAATTCCATCTGCCGGAAAATACGAAGAAACTTTTTCCCCAACCCAATATGTTCTATGTTATCTTATATATTATGCGCAGTAATGGTTTAAGAGTATATGTACTAATGCGAATAACATTCATTATTATTAATCTAATTTCAATATTGCTGGAAGAGTTTGCTTATAAAGAAGCTTGTTATCTAGGAAATCTTATATACTATGCGTAGTAATGATTTAAGAGTATATGTACTAATGCGAATAGCATTCATTATTACTAATATAATTTCAATTAATTTTAAATCCTCTTTGCATTATTGTATGTGCTCTTAATAAAACATTAATACATATGCAAGATAATATATGGAAGTTATTTGTAAATATGCATTATATGTTCTACATTATCTTATATACTATGCGTAATAATGATTTAAGAATATATGTACTAATGCGAATAGCATTCATTATTACTAATCTAATTTCAATATTACTAGAAGACTTTGCTTATAAAGAAGTTTGTACAACAGGCTTGTTATCTAGGAAATCTTATATATTATGCATAGTAATGATTTAAGAGTATGTACTAATGCGAATAGCATTTATTATTACTAATCTAATTTCAATATTGCTGGAAGAGTTTGCTTATAAAGAAGCTTGTACAACAAGCTTGTTATCTAGGAAATATATAGCTATTCCTTAATATAAGTTTTTGTATAAGTAAACTCTTCCTGTAATATTTAAATTTGATTAATACATAATGTTGAATTCTATTTAAGTTAGTACGTATATTCTTAAATCACTACAATATGTTATTTATAAAAATACATGTATTACACTTTATCTTATATATACCATAATAATGTACTATTGTAGATAGATTTAAGTTTATTATTTATTAATTTAATTTAAATATTGTAAGAAGTGTTTGTTTATAAAGAAGCTTGTGTAAAGAAGTGCCTATACATTTTTTAGAATATTAAGAATATTAATACAAGAATTTTAGAATATTAATAGAAGATAACTTATATATGTAATACATATATTTTTTTTAAATAATTTAGTTTATTGAAAAACAGTAATAAGAATTGCATATAGGTTATATTCAAAAAATATTTAAAAAAATATTCAAAATTTGTTAAATATATTCATAAATTTCTATCAATAAAACAAACCATGTATGTTTTATAAATATTTCCTATATATAATTCTTTAGTTTTCAAAGGATCAAGTTATTTTTAAAGTTTTACATATTATACTAATTATCTTGCACAAAACAATAATAATCCAGAAAATGTATAATCACTTCTTTATACAAACTTTTTTTATTAGCAATTTTTCTTGCAATATTTAGATTAATAATGTTGAACTCTATTTACATTATAGTAAGTATATTCTTAAATAATTATTATTGTATACAGGGTGTCCCATTTAACTTGACACATCGAAATATTTCGTAAAATCTAAAAGATACGAAAAAATGTTTCAGACAGAAGTTGTATGGTTTTAAAGGGGACATAAGATGGTGTCATTAGTTTGAGCTTGAAGAGTCACATGAAGGTCACATGAAGGTCACCACCAACTTTTTAAATGGGATACCTTATATGCTTTTGCATATTCTTGTAGCTTATCTCGAGAGCTTTCCAAAACACTATAATTACGTACCTTTTCGTTAAATACTTCTTGAGTTATAAGGCTTGAAATCATTTCTTAATTTTACATAAACCATAAAATATCTTGTAAAATATTCATTTTTCGATTATTTTACCTTAATACTTTTATGCATAAAATAATGAGAGGATTCAATTGGTGTAAAGAAAACACATAGTTGTTACTAAGAAATAATATGTAATTTGCAATTAACAATTCTATATTTTTTTTATAAACAACTGTATGTTTTCTTTATACCAATTGATTCCTCTCATTATTTTGTATATAAAAGGATTAAAGTAAGATAATCAAAAAATGAATATTTTACTAGATATTTTATGGTTTATGTAAAATTAAGAAATAATTTCAAGCCTTATAACTCAAGAAGTATTTAACGAAAAGGTACTTAATTATAGTGTTTTGGAAGGCTCTCGAGATAAGCAACAAGAATATGCAAAAGCATATAGGGTGTCCCATTTAAAAAGTTGGTGGTGACCTTCATGTGACCTTCAGGTGACTCTTCAAGCTCAAACTAATGACACCATCTTATGTCTCCCTTAGAATCATACAACTTTTGTCTGAAACATTTTTTCGTATTTTTTAGATTTTACGAGATATTTCGAAGTGTCAAGTTAAATAGGACACTCTGTATATATAAGATAAAGTATAATTAAAGATAATACATATATATTTATAAATAATTTAGCTGAAAATAGCAAGAATTATAGTAGAAAATATTTATGAAGTATTTATTATTTATTATTTTAATAAAAATTTAATGAAAAATCTTGCACATTAACTGATTAAGAAGTATATATATATATATATATATATATATATATATATATATATATATAATAATGCAAGGAGAGAAAGTTTAAAATTATTAATGTAATTTAACTATAAATAAAAATAATATAATATATATTATAATATATATATATATATATATATTTAATTATATATATACATATATGAGTATATATATATATATATATATATATATATATATATGCATAATTAAATACACTACAATATAGCTTATATTCTATATACGTTGTAAATATAATTGTAAATATAAACATGATACAAGTGGTATGATCTTTTCCTTACTTAGAGTTCAATCATAAATTTTTTTCTCTAGCATGAACTCGTGAATAGTAAAAAATTTTATTGATATAAATATTGAATATGTGTTAATTTTTTCTAAGTTTACGTTACAAGAAAAAATTTATGATTAAGATTTTATTAATATGATATTAATAATAAAATCTATAACACTATTTTTATATAAAATTATATATTAATATAATACAATTTAAATGTATACATATATATATATATATATATATATATATATATATATATATATAATTTATATATAGGGTGAGTTTTTTATCTTGAGACATCGAAATATCTCTCTCGTAAAGTCTAAAAGATACGAAAAAAATGTTTCAAACAAAAGTTATATGGTTTTAAGAGGAACATAAGGTAGTGTTATTAGTTTGACCTTGAGGAGTCACCTGAAAGTTACGTGAAAGTCACCTCCAATTTTTTAAATAAGACATCCTGTATATTTTGTATATTTTTGTAGCTCATTTCGAGAGTTTTCCAAAACACTATAATTAAATTAGTTTTTATTAAGTACTTTCTGAGGCATAAAATCATTTTCTTAATTTTATATAAATTGTAAAATATCTTGTACAGTATTTATTTTTCGATTATCTTATTTTAATACTTTTATGTACAAAATAATGTGAGGAATTAATTGGTGTAAGAAAAACATATAATTGCTTCGAAAAAAAATGTAATTGTTAATTGCAAATTGCATTTTGTTTTCGAAACAATTGTGTTTCCTGTACACCAATTGATTCCTCTCATTATTTTGTATGTACATAAGAGAATTAAGATAAGATAATGAAAAAATTAATATTTTACAAAATATTTTACGGTTTATGTAAAATTAATAAATAACTTCAAGTCTCATAATTCGGAAAGTACTTAATGAAAACTAACTTAATTATAGTGTTTTGGAAAGCTCTCTAGATGAGCTACGAGAATATGCAAAAACATACAGGATGTCTTATTTAAAAGATTGGAGATGATCTTCACATAATTTTTAGGTGACTCTTCAAGGTCAAACGAATGACATCATTTTATGTCTCCCTTGAAACACATTGAATTACAATTTTTGTCTGAAACATTTTTTCGTATCTTTTAGCTTTTACGAGATATTTCGATATCTTAAGATAAAAAAACTCACTCTGCATATATATATATATATATGCATAAATTATACGTATGTATGTATGTATGTATTATTTGTATAATTTCTTATATATTATTTTTTTAAATAAATGTAAATTATTATTTATTTCTTTTGTTTCAGGAAAGGCGAGAAAGTTATAAAATTGACATTGATAATAAATAGTAGAAAAAGAAGAAAAGAAGAGTGAAGAGAGAAAATTATTTGAGAAAACTTTTTATATTATAAGTTATTTTAATTTATTTACAATTAATATATTATATTTAATTATATTTTAATTTTATTGTATTATAATATATTTTATTATATTATATTTATTATATTTATTATATTGTATATATTTATTATATTGTATTATATATTATATTATATTTATTATATTGTATTATATTATATTTATTATATTTATTTTATTGTATTATATATTATATTATATATATTATATTATATTTATTATATTGTATTATGTAATATATTATATTATATTTATTATATTTATTATATTGTATTATAATATATTTTATTATATTATATTTACAAAAATTTAATTAATATTTAATTTTATTACAGTAGTATTATTAATTATTATATATATTATTAATATTTATTAAATTATTATATATTATTAATAATTATAATTTATTTTATTTTTTATGTATGTAATTAATAAATAAATCATATTATTTAAAAGTATTGATATTATTATTAATAATAATTATGATATTGATAGGTTAAATGAAATTGTGTAGTC